CTACCATCTTTTCATAGTATAACCCTTGTAAAGTTCCCATTAACATGTCGACTAATTCTTTCTCCAGAAGTGGTGGTTGTACTCAGGATGCCATTTCTCTCCACCTTTTGGCATATTCCTTGAAGGACTCCTCTTTCTTTTGAAACAAGTTCTGGAGTTGTATGCGGGTAGGCGCCATGTCCATGTTTTATTTATACTGCTTCAAGAATGCATTGGCAAGATCTGCCCATGTTTCGATGTGAACCCGTTCCAACTGCATGTACCAATCCAGAGGTGCCCCACTTAAATTGTCTTGAAAAAAATGAATCATCAGCTTCTGATCTTGAGCATAAGCATGCATCTTCCTACAATACATGCGCAGATGGTTCCTTGGATAGGTGGGCCCCTTGTATTTTCCAAAGTAAGGTACTTTGAATTTTGGCGGGATCAACACATCAGGGACTAGACCCATTTCGAGAGCATCTACATCGAAAGCATCATAACCCTCCACAACTTTTAACCTTTCCTCCAGAGCTTTGTACTGATTGAGCACGATTGGATTCTCGGTAGCATGGGTTGTTCTCTAAGGTTCTTGATTGATAGCCTCTAGGTTGTGGTCTCCATATTGCAAATCTAAGTAGTTGTCTGCATTGTTAATCAAAATCTACGGGTATGAGATGTCCCTGCCTTTAGTGGAAGTGGGACAAACCCTTCAGTATCAGCTTGTCTTGTCTCTTGTTGAGCCATGGTAGACTTTTGGGGCCTTGACTCTGGCTCTTTCCTTGGTTAGTGACCGCTCGATGCACCAATGTTCTGGGCTACTTCTACAAAGGCTACCCTAGGAATTTGCTCATGCCTGTCAATGATGTTCTTCAAGGCTAGAAGAACTTGACTCGTGTCTCCTCTCATTGAGTTGACGTTGCCCTTGACTTGCTCAAGATCTTCTTTAAACACAGCTTAGTTTTCCTCAATTTGTTCCATCACTTTTTGTTGATGGGCTCTTGTCTAATATAGTGGTCAGAGAGGTGGTGCTTTTCTTCTACCAATGGTTTAACTGGAGAAGGTTTTAAAAAATGAGTTTTTATTATGAATGAAATGCAAACGTTTTTGAATGCATGAATGCGTATGAATATACTGAGGGTTTCGTTTCGAATGCCTTATTCACACACACACACACACACACACACACACACACACACACACACACACACACACACACACACACACACACACACACACACACACACACACACACACACACACACACACACACATATATATATATATATATATATATATATATATATATATATATATATATATATATATATATATATATATATATATATATATATATATATATATATATATATATATATATATATATATATATTTCAGGTTTTGCTTTTTTTTATTGGTGAGTATCTTGAAATGAATACATAGAAACAAAAGTATTTTCATTAATAATAATCATCCTCAAAAGGGAATATATTTCAGATATTGAAAGATATTCGAACTAAAAAGAAACTATTGGAAGCACCAACATCTTCACGACTCTTAGTTTCTCCTTGATGATTATCATCTTTGTCATATCTGGCTTGACGGTATTAATGCGGACAAGTTATTTCCTTTTGGTATTCATTTTAGGATATTTCACTAAAACCTTTAATTATCCTTTTTTAACTATGTGAATAAGACAAACAAAAGAAATAGAGGGTAATATATGAAATGCAAAACTGTATGAATGCATGAATGTGGGGCTTAGTGACGGGATTTTATGAATGGTATCCTTAGAAGGTAGACTCCTAGTTTTGTCCTACGGATAGTCTACCCTCCCCATAAGGTAGTATTTTTAAGGGTATCATGAATAACACTAGAGGGAAAAGCACAAGGGCCTCCCTTAAGTGGATCCTCTTTACAGACCGAAACTTTCGTCTCTAGATCGTGAAAGGTCTTGTCATGAGATTTTGGTTTAAGGGTTGTACAAAGAGTCATAGGTGTCATTCCAAAGTCCTACTTCCCAAGAGGATGTCTCTTGAGAGGTATTCCTTTCGCGGAATTCCACCGAATGTAGGTGAAGTTGTCACATAAACTCATAAGGCTCATGTATTTATTTGGCTAATAGACGAACCTTCTTTCTAAGGGTTTTTGAAAATATTTTCGCAATATTTAAATCCCACCACAGATATAATAATATGATAAAAATAACAATAAATAAATAAAATAAATAATTAATTAATTAAACAAATATAAAAAACCCAAAAAGCAAAAAACCCTAAAAACCTTAAAATCAAAAGGACAAGGCTTTTAAACCTAGGGTTGAGTCCCCAGCAAAGTCGTCAGTTATTGTAACCAGATTTTAAAATGAGAGTCGTCACCCTTAATTTTTATCCTAAGGAAGGGAATATAAAGGTTAACCTTAAACGTTATAGATTCTAGGTTTTTGACTCGGTTCTAGCTGAAGGGAAGGTGTTAGGAACCCTTTATCTACCTTGTTCACAAGGATACTAGGATTATAAGCATAATTTTTAGAGAATAGGGTTTTAATTTTTATTATGGGAACTCGCCACGATTTTAGTCATATGTCTGCGTATCCTCTTATGAGGAATCAGAGTCTCAATTCGTAGTTCACAGTTGATTGGTATTTTTTATGAATTACGAAGATATTTGAAATTACCCTGTGCGTAGTCTAGGTGTATGAATAGCGGAGTTTGTTAGATGAAGTGCGCAGTTAATTAAAATATTATTGTAATCTTTTTTGAAAATTGTTTGTTGAATTAATTTGATTTATGAAAATGATTTGGTGTTGGTTAAATGTTTTTTTGTGTATTAATTGTGAAAATATTTTATTAGATGCATGATTAAAAATATTTAATGTAATAAATAAATAAATATTAGATGACTTTGAAAAGTATTATATGATTTATGGTAATAATAAATATAAAAAAAATATGAAATACAAAAATTATAAAATAAAATAAAAATAAAGATTGAATAAAAAAAGCAGGGTGGGTGTGACTAAAGTTAGGCTAGTAAAAAATGGGGGGGGGGGGGGGGGTGCAGGTATTAGGGTCCTGAATTCATATACTGAATTCAGGCCTAAAGGACATGGGGTTGCATTTTTGAACTATGTAGTAAAACTAGGGGGTGTGAGCAGCGGGTCCAAGTCCATATTTTTGACTTGGTCCATTGGGCAAAATGGGGTATTGTTTTGCGCTGATTAGTAAAATAAAATAGAAAGGAGGTTTAATGAGAAATGGGCTAGGCCAAGAATGGTTTTGAGGAGTCCGCTTGGACAACATACGGACGAGTACGCTGTGATATCATGGACGCGGGTGTTTCTAAGCGTGTGATGGTGATCATATGGTGATGATTGAAGGTGCATGATAACGATCTTAAGGTGTGATGCACATGATTACTAAGCATAATATAATTTTGTTTTACAGAATATTCATTTCATTTCTTGTTTGTCCCTTTCTCTCTCTCTCTTCACTCGTTCGTCCCATCTCCCATCTCTCTTCTCTCACTGTAACAACAAATCCTAAAACTTAATCCTGGCGGCGACGCCCCTTCTCCCTCTCTGATACCACAACGAAACAGTACAACCCACAAGTCCCAACCCCCAAATCAAATTTTCGCCCCTTCTCCCTCTCTGATACCACAACGAAACAGTACAACCCACAAGTCCCAACCCCCAAATCAAACAGTCAAACCTTAAGCTAAGCAATTATTACCTCGTCGTGTTTTTTTTTCGCTTCTTTGTCCCAATCTTGTTTTGCTAACTCTTCCTTCTTCTATTTACAGGTGCGGCGGTGGTGATGATAACGTGACGGCGACGCTTCAAAGAGAGCTAGGATTTTAGATATTGAAACCCTAGGCTGAAGCGGCGGTGAACAAGGGTTATGGTGAGCCTCTCTCTGTTCTCCTTCCAAGCATCTTCCGATTTCCTTTTTTGTAAATTTTCCTCTTAATTTTCTCCCCCCCCCCCCCCCCCTTTCTGTTTTTGATTTTAGGTTTTTATAGCTTTTTTTTATTTAGATTATTGTAGGCAAGTTTTTATGATTGTTGTTATCTTTCCTAGGATTAGGAAATTAGAGATTAATTTGTGATTTGGATTTGTATACGTTTGATCTTGCTGTAATCCGATCTGATTTTGTATTAATGTATAAAGATTTGTTATGAAATAGTTAAGATTTGATTTGTTTTTATTTTAGTTTGATTCACTGTAAACAACTGTCGTATTTTTATTTAGTTATGTTCTGTAAAGATTTGTGTTTTACTATTTGATTCTATTTACGATTTGAACAGTAAATGTTATAATAAAGCATGCGTTATTTTCTTTTGAATCCAAGCATTTTTCCTTAATCTGAATCGTAACCGCTTTAGTTTTTGACACAAGCGTTTTTCGTGATCTTGGTTGGACCACGTGACTAGTAAAGGTTCTTCTTTTTGTTTCCAATTTGATTTTTTTAGTCAATATTTTAAAACAATCAAAATTAATGATAATAATAAAAAATAATAGTAATCATACTAATAATAATATTAATAATTATTATTATTATTATATAATTAAAACAAAATAGTTTTTTTTAAATAAATCAAAAAGCTGATCGTTCCATACTGTTTCAATTTATTGGACCTCTAACAAATGAGTTGCTTATACACCCCTTTGATTAAAAAATACCACCCTTCACCTTTAATTAAAACAGACCCTCCAACATTCTAATGAGTCAGTCTACTTAACAAAAACCTCAGCATACATCCCTTCTTAAATGGGTCCAAATAAAATTTTAACTAACAAATTTCCCTTTTTGTAAGATAAACCGAGTGGACTTTCAATTCTATATGGGCCTTTCTGATTTAGAAGGTCCAAGAGCTCTTAATAAAATAAACCCTTCAAGAATTGAAATTTTACATGGGCTTTTCTCTTACATTATCAACTTAACATACATAACATACCTAACATACAAACTTAGCATAATCAACCTAACATTATCAACCTATTCAACTTAACTTAAACCCTAATTGATTACATTTGATACAATCAATCCAATTAATAAAACTAATGTCATTCCCATGATAAATTTGTTCATCATCTTCAAAAACTTGATCTTCAACTTCAATTGATCCTCTCTAATTATGGCTTCATTTAGTTTGAATTTTTCTTGGTTTAATTTTTGATGCATTGAAGATATTACTTCCTTGGCTCTTTGAGACATCTCTTCATCATACCAGGCGAAGTGACTACACTTCTTATATCTCTGACTCTAGAAATAGAGAAGAACAATGAGAGATTTTTTGGAAATCACAAAATAAACTTGTTCATAGATTTTGCAAATGAAACTAATACCTTGTACATCCTACAGCCAAAAAACCGATGCCCTTGGTTCACATATGTCAAAGTCGTCATTAACGGAGATGGAAGACCACATTTGCATTCGACATGATTGGAGCGAGAAACAAATTGATTATTTGATGTTGAATATTGGGACATGGTCCCGTGAAGCTTAGAGCGTAAAATTGATACGATATCTATGATTTTCAGGAGAAGGAGAAAAACTTCATTGGTTCTAGAGTATACAACATCGTGTCTTATATTGTTTATGCACATGAACAAATGTAACACAGCCAAATACACGAGACTTAAAATTTTGTAATATGAAAATAGAGGGAAAATGTGAAAGCATAAATTGTACAAGACTAACACTATTTAAGACTCGAAATGAGATCCAATAAATTAGATAGAAAGTTGTAAATATTGTCTCTCCTCTATAATAGTTGAGAACTTATATTTGAAATAAAAGAGATCGAACAACTTCAAGTAAATAGCGGTTTTTCCTTTTGAAAACGTCATTTTGTTAAAGTATTCTTATCCGTGAAGTTGAAAAATACATGATTGACATATTATTTATGATTGTCAGATGAAATTCTACTTACACCTTTTTCAAAATAGTAAGCCAAGATTATTCAAAATAGTAAGCCAGAATTATGGCTCTCAGCTAGAATAATTAGACAAATATTGAGATTCTGGTACATCATGAAAAAATGTTCTATTTTGGTTGTAAGAGAGGTTCATCAAGTCCAATCAAAACTTCAAATATGATTTGAAAATAGTGGCTTAATATCAGAGAGGTGAAAGACTTGTTTTATATCTCTAACATTGCACCTTAATATCACACTGTCATTAAAGCAACAAACCCATTAAAGCAACAATAAAAAACAGATAATATTAATTTGAGAATGAACAAAAGGATCATATCATTTATTAACTCTTATCCATCCATTTGCATTTTCATGTCCAAAAGCAAAAAACCGGAAAAAACACAGTAAATTACAAGCAGGACAAATGATACAAGAAAAACAGCGTTTCCAATGCCATAATACTTAAACTTAGTAAGTTTCAGGTGTGTGTGCAATGAAACTGATGCATTGAACTTGACGAACGTTGTCGAAACCGATGATACGAACGAAAGCTTCAGGGTAAGCTGCAATAACTTCATCAAGCTCCTTCAAGACTTGAGAAGCCTCAGTGGTACCAAACATAGGAAGCTTCCACATTGTCCAGTATCTTCCATCATAGTACCCTGGTGAGCTGTTGTGCTCACGGTACACAAATCCTTTCTGCAACCAAGTAGTCAAAATCAACTCATTAGGGTTTTAAACAAAACTATGTATATAATATCATTGAAAAAGTAATGAATAATATTAAACCTCCAACTCAAATTCCAAGCAAGGAACCCATCCCTTCCTTAGAAGGTATTCAACTTCTTTCAACAATTGCTCTCTGGTCAATGGTGGCAAATATGAAAGTGTCTCAAACTTCTTCTTTCCAATCGGAGGCCACACCTAATAATTCAACAAAAGGGTTAACAAAAGGCATGCAAAAACATCAGTATACAAAGTAGGCACATGTTTTTGTCACCTGCATGCACTTTACTCTTCCACCATTGCTTGTAATGGAGGTAATGTCAGTGTTGACCTTCTTAACTGGGAATCCAGACATAGATTTGAGGCTACCAAATAGAGCCCCTGCGGTGGATTGCACCGTAGAGGCACGGTTAACTGTAGTCACAGCTGAAGAGGAAATCATAGAAGCCATTGTTGTTATAATTGAGTTGCAAAGCTTGTAGGAAAGCTTGCTATATATAATGTTTTTATTTATCGATTTCCAATATAATGGTGTTAATATTGTGGTAATTGGCTACTGCCTAGTACCAATCTTGTTGGATAGTTAAAATGATAAAGTTTGCAGCCATATTAACCACACAAGATTGAAAAGTTTGTGTGTGCTAACCTTATCATTAGCCACCAATAGGACAGTGCCACGTGGATATTACCCCACTGATCTTATCTTTTCATGTGAAGAGTGTAAATGTGTGATGGTGGTTATGTTGATATTTTTATTTTTTTTGTAATGAATTGTATCCTTGAAAATGAAACTTCTTCACAAATATCTATTATGTATTGGGTAAACATTTGTTCCTGTCCAAGCTTTTGGATCCTCACAGGTGAAAAAAATATTAGTTAAATCAGAAAAACAAAATCAATTATATGAACCCTCTAAACTGATATTCTCTTATCTTTTTGTTGTGTAAATGAAAATGTGACTGTCTTCACAATTACATGAGAAACTTTAGTAAACTTATCTCTTTTCCTTGTTTGCAACATTTCTTTTATGTCTCAAAAAAGGTGAGGATTCTGTGATGAAATTTACTGATTCTGGTCTGTCTAGTAATGCCGGCACCTCTCAGATGTAAAGTCATACCTTAAAAACATGTTTTAAGTAATTAATCCAAAACAAACATGAATCATTAATATTAAAGCCTAAATAGAATTACGTGAAATGTCATGACCATAACTAATACATTAGTATAATGATCACTACACCTAAACAACATCGGCAACTATTCATGGAGCAGCACTTCCGTCTTTAATTTTCTTCTCACATTCTCTCCGGATGAGATTTAAAGTAACCTACTTTCATTATGTTAATGATGAAGTTGCAAATATTTTTTATTTTTTTTAGACCTCAATCATTCTAACAATTTATTACAATTAAAACCACCGCTCTATGATCATGTTTCTTCTTAATATCCAGATTGATGAAATTCAATCTAACAAAACTGGCTTCGAATGTCTTCTACATCACATCTAACATCTAATGTAGAACTCTCAACAATCCTCAGTTAGACACTATACTTATCTCATTAGTTTAATTACAGTTAGATCCTTCTACTGTTCTTTAGTTTTTTCAGTTAGCTTAGTGGGCATCTTACACGTGGCACTGTCCTATTGGTGGCTAATGATAAGGTTAGCACACTAAACTTTTCAATCTTGTGTGGTTAATATGGCTGCAAACTTCATTTCACAATCCAACAAATTGGTATTAGGAACCAACCAATTTCCACAATTTTAAAAACATAATATTGGAAATAGAACATTCAAAACATTATATATAGCATGTTTTAGTACAAGCTTTGCAACTCAATTATAACAACAATGGCTTCTATGATATCTTCTTCAGCTGTGACTACAGTCAACCGTGCCTCTACGGTGCAATCCACCGCAGGGGCTCTATTTGGTAGCCTCAAATCTATGTCAGGATTCCCAGTTAAGAAGGTCAACACTGACATTACCTCCATTACAAGCAATGGTGGAAGAGTAAAGTGCATGCAGGTTAGGAAAACATATATCTACTTTGTATAAACTTTATAGTTTCTGTTTGGATTTCTCATAAGTACTTATGAAACTGTTTGAGAGAGTTGTTAGAAACAATATATCATATGTCCATGAACTGTTTTCAACTTATTTCCATAAGCTTTGTAGAATAACTTATGAAACTGTTTGTTAACACTTTTGTTGAATTTTTAGGTGTGGCCTCCAATTGGAAAGAAGAAGTTTGAGACTCTTTCATATTTGCCACCATTGACCAGAGATCAATTGTTGAAAGAAGTTGAATACCTTCTCAGGAAGGGATGGGTTCCTTGCTTGGAATTTGAGTTGGAGGTTTAATATTATTCATTACTTTTTCAATGATATTATATACATAGTTTTGTTTAAAACCCTAATGAGTTGATTTTGACTACTTGGTTGCAGAAAGGATTTGTGTACCGTGAGCACAACAAGTCACCAGGATACTATGATGGAAGATACTGGACAATGTGGAAGCTTCCTATGTTTGGTACCACTGATGCTGCTCAAGTCTTGAAGGAGCTTGATGAAGTTGTTGCGGCTTACCCTCAAGCTTTCGTTCGTATCATTGGTTTCGACAACGTTCGTCAAGTTCAATGCATCAGTTTCATTGCACACACACCTGAATCCTACTAAGTTTTAAGTATTATGGCATTGTTTTGCTTGTAATTCCCTGTGTTTATCGGTTTTTGCTTTTGGATTGTAAAATGCAAATGGATGGATAAGAGTTAATAAATGATATGGTCCTTTTATTCATTCTCAAACTACTGTTATCTGTTTTTCTTCTTTGTTATGTGTTGAATTTGAAGTAACAATGGAACTAACAGTTAGTAATTAAGATGCAGTGTAAGAGATATAAAAAACTCTCTTTGGAAATCTATATCTTAAACTGGTTTGTTTCGTAGCTTAACAATGTAACCAAGTTAATTATGAGACAAATACATTTTGAAATTGTAACGTGTCAGTCAAAATGATCTCTCCGTTAACTTTCTGCTTTGAGAGGCTATGTCCTGGCACGTTATTTGAACTTCTCAATCAAAACGTATCACATCATAGCCTCTAATGACAGAAGTCAATAGGAAGATTATTTTGACTCACTCTTATAATTTCAAGGATGTATTTGGAAATTCGTAAAATCAAGACTATTTTAATCGATGTTTACAATTTTGAAGACCTTATGCTTATTCATTAGACAACAAGTATATTTGTGGACCTAGCAAAGCAGTAAATGTTACTGAACACAAGTTACAGTCTTGTATAGCCTTTTGTGTTTTAGACATTTATGAACTTTTCTTTATGTATTTTTCGACTCATATTTGTAATTCTACATAAAGCCGAGTTAGATTGGACTTGATGAAGCTCTCTTGCCAAAAAAAGAACCAATTTTTCATGAAATTGGTCAGATTCTAATGATTGGCTGATCTTTATAGGTTTATCATTTTAGCATATGAGTTTGTAAAGTTATGGATGAACAAAACACATCGAAATGGTTATATCGTAAAGGCTGCATGCACTGATAGATTAGATGCTGTGACGTAACACATTAAATTAAATGAACATGTAGTCTTCTACGTGAAAGGCTATATGTTCAATTAACGCACCAGATCATAGCATCTAAAGATCTAAGTTTAATCAAGAGAGACCATACATTACAATTTGTCAATAACAGAATTTAAGATCGATGTTTAGAATTTCGATACATAACTATTCGGTTCATTTGTTGCCAAGGACAAACATGAGTCAATTTTGTAAAGTTGAGTAGCCTCATGCAAAAACATTACTTTTAGTTTATATATCATTCAATAAGAAACTGGATGAACATAAAGAATAAATACCTCAAAGTTTAACTTTATTACATAGTTACTTAGTCAAAGTCTCATAATTAACTTAGTTAACAAACAAATTTAAGATATAAATTTCCAAAGAGTGTGTTTATATCTCTTACACTACACGTTACGTTTAGAGGAGTACACTTTCAAGAACCAAACTTTGACCACTAGGCCAACCCCTGGGTTTTTGTTAGTTCCTTTTCAAAATCAACACATAACAAAGAGAGAAAAAATAATACTAATTTGAGAATGAACAAAAGGACCATATCATTGATTAACTCTTATCCATCCATTTGCATTTTACAGTCCGAAAGCGAAAACCGATAAACAAAGGAAATTACAAGCAAAACAATGCCATAATACTCAAACTTAGTAGGTTTCAGGTGTGTGTGCAATGAAACTGATGCATTGAACTTGACGAACGTTGTCGAAACCGATGATACGAACGAAAGCTTCAGGGTAAGCTGCAATAACTTCATCAAGCTCCTTCAAGACTTGAGAAGCCTCAGTGGTACCAAACATAGGAAGCTTCCACATTGTCCAGTATCTTCCATCATAGTACCCTGGTGAGCTGTTGTGCTCACGGTACACAAATCCTTTCTGCAACCAAGTAGTCAAAATCAAATCATAAGACTCTTAAACAAAACTATGTATATAATATCATTGAAAAAGTAATGAATAATATTAAACCTCCAACTCAAATTCCAAGCAAGGAACCCATCCCTTCCTGAGAAGGTATTCAACTTCTTTCAACAATTGCTCTCTGGTCAATGGTGGCAAATATGAAAGTGTCTCAAACTTCTTCTTTCCAATCGGAGGCCACACCTAAGAATTCAACAAAAGGGTTAACAAAAGGCATGCAAAAGCATCAGTATACAAAGTAGGCACATGTTTTCCTAACCTGCATGCACTTTACTCTTCCACCATTGCTTGTAATGGAGGTAATGTCAGTGTTGACCTTCTTAACTGGGAATCCTGACATAGATTTGAGGCTACCAAATAGAGCCCCTGCGGTGGATTGCACCGTAGAGGCACGGTTAACTGTTGTCACAGCTGAAGAGGAAATCATAGAGGCCATTTTTCTCACTTTCTTAGTTCTTCTGCTTGAATTGCAAAGCTTCTGCTAAAACTTGCTTTATATAATGTACTGATTTTTCTATTTCCAATATTATGGTCTCAAAATTGTGGTAACTGGCCACTGCCTAGAACCAATGTGTTGGATTGTGAAAATGATAAGCTTATCAGCCATAGTAACCACACAAGATTGGAAGTTTTTGTGTGTTAGCCTTATCATGAAGCACCAATAGGCTAATGCCATGTGGATGATGTCCTACTAGTTATGGATAGTAACTTTTTTCAAGTATTGGCTACTCATTGAGGGTAAAAAGGTATCGTTCATATAGTAGTTGGTTTCTGAAAACCTATACGTTGAAAATGTGATTGCCATCAAATTGTTGATCGGAGGGATTCATACTTCTAAGACCAAAAATATAAACACCTTGAAGTAACCTAATCTTAAGTGTCGGATAGAAGTTGATGATAAACTAGTAACAAATCAGCTAAGGAGTTAAAAAGAAAGTTTATACAGGAGACCATGGATAAGGAGTTTATCAGCAATATTGAATGGACTACGGTCAATGCCAAATTTAAGAATATTATTTCCCATGTAGAGAGGCCCTCATAATCCGCTCCCTGCAAAAGTAGTTTCATAAATTAGAAATTCCACTTTGTATTACGAATAACTTCTCAACCATAATAAACTTCAGACTCTTTATACATTTGACACTTCAAAAATTAATGTAACGTTTTTCTTACAGCAAGCTTTCATACTAATAATACAACTTGTTAAAAAAAATAGTCTGCCCTACAAATGTACAACAATTCAAGTGAATAAAACCATCCACGTGGAGCTCTAATAAAGCAGCAGGGCAAAATAGGAATTTCAAGAACATATAATTTTCTTATATTATAGATATTCATATTTGATATATAATTCTATTTAAATAGGAAAATATTTGATAGGTTTTGTATGGGCCTTTAATTAATATTATAAATTATTATTTAATATTTATGAAATTTATAAAATTTCTCAACAAGTTAATGAATGGATATCATTCCTATTCAGTTTCGGTTCTAAAATTGACCTAATTAGAAAAAGTCTAAAATAGTTGAATAGATAAAAAATAATGATATTTGTGACAGAATGACGTCAGAGCAATGACAGAAATGACATTAGAGCAATGACAGAAATGACTTAGGGAGAAGGCGTAGACCTGTCCTAAAACAACACATGGTTTATGTAGGAACATGAGGCTGGACCTTCAAATAACAAAACAAAATATATGTTGTCACTCGTCCCCATGAACGATCTAGATTAGAGTTAAAGGAAATGACTTGCCAAACCCTAATAAATATCCTATAAAAAAGAGAGCAGACGTCAAATCAAGGTACACAAAAATATTCCTTAAAATTTTATACATCTCATATCTGATAGTCACTGACTTGGACGTCAAAGCGTGTGCAGGTACTCCTTCCCTCTAAATCAGCCAAGCAACTAGGAAGAGACCGGCCTTCAGACCAGTGACAACCAGAATATGACCATCTTCAAGGAGAATCTTCCTTGTTGAAAGGTATAGATATCAATAATTTCAAGCTTGCAAGTAAACTGGTTGAATCGTGCTCTTAGTAAACCCTGTTGAGAATGTAATTCATTTTTCGAAGCAGGTTTCTCAACAGAAACAAGGTTGTGTCGATTAGCCTAGTGTGTGTCGAATTGGCGAAGGAGTTGCCTCGACATGATTTTGATTTAGACCTATTTATTGTAGTTAACAGAATTAGATATTTTGGGTTTTGGTTTAGGGAGCAAGCAAACCTAAAACTATAAGAGGATTTCTTTTTCCACCCTATAGTTTTCTAGTGCACCATGTGAAATTCCAAAAATACCCCTTAAAACGGAAATTTATTTCCGGTACCCACCTTACCAAGCATAAAGGTTGGGTATAAACCGGAAATATGTTTTCGGAAAATTCCGGAAATGTATTTCTGGAATAAATTATGTGGTAAAATAGGGACGTTGCTAAAAAAATAAATGAAATGCATGTGTGTGGAATGCTCCTGGAAATGCATTTCCGGAATCAACTGAAATTTAACACACAAAAAATCTGTACCAGAAATAAAATTTTCAATTTTCAGGGACATTTTAGGAAATGCATAGGATATTTCTTTACACTATAGGATGGAAAAATAAATCCATAAACTATAAATAGGGAGTAACCTCTATTGTTGTAATCTATCTCACACACATGTAGTTGCAAAATAAAGTTTCAGTTTGAGAAGCAGAGAGAAATTTTGCAGAAAATTCTTCTTCTCCTATTTTGTTCAAACTCTAATTCACCTTTCTTCTCAATTCATCTTTTATTTCTTCTTTCATTAACGTTGTGCGGCTAGAATCATCTTGCAACCAGGTTGATTGATTCACTTGAGTGAATAGTGAAGAACAAGAGAGAATTTGATCGGTTGATTGATTCTTGTCCATCAAGATTAATTCAGAATTTTCTATAGGTTTTGGTGCAATTTCAACAAACCCTTTGTAAATCCATTTGTTAACTGATATCCAAAAAAATGTAGGTTATAATTATAAACTCATTATCTATCTTTTCTTTGATGAAATGTTTGTCAATCTCTATGTGTTTTGACATGTCATGTTAAACAAGATTATATACAATACTAATAATTGATCTATTATCGCAAAATAACTCCATAGAATATTGATTATATCATTAAATATTCTAACACTACAAGAAAAGTGATATATTGTGACAACTACTTCTATAATTATGCTTTGATTTTTGTCGCTAGATGTCACTTTTAGCTTAAGATGTATTACGTGTGTCATCTTTTTCATTTACAAAGAAGAGGTGAATAGATTTTGGCTCACCAAACCAAAATTTTCGTTAAAAAACTTTATTGTTTTCATTGAGAAATAAAAAATTAATTTACTCAATTGTCGTACTCCAAATTTGTCCTACCTCGACGATCGTATTTTTAAGATTAAAATAATAAAGAAATGTTTAATTAAGGATGGTACAGCAATATCTGATGACTCATTCTTAAAATTTAAGTCAATCGGGGGGTGTATTTTAACCGAAGAGAATGAGACTTTCTAAATCATAAAGAGTCGTGTATTCGTAAACTTATTCGTAGGGTGTGTTGGCCTATGGCTCATGCGATTCAAAAATAAAAAATTAGTCAATTAATAATTAATTTTTTAATTAATAAAACTCATCTTTAGTATTAAGGTTATTAGTAAAAGGGGAGGTTGAAATTGCAATTAGCCAGCCCATTAGATTGACCTATCTAATATTTTTGAAAAGAAGTACTAATATTATAAAAATATTATTTATCATTATTTTGAGTAAATAAATAATATTATTATTAAAAGGAAGTTATCATTTGTTTACCGTGAAAATTGGTAAACAACCGTTGTTCTTCCAAAAAGGGTAATTTTTGGTTACTTCCAAGATCGATCAGTTTGATCCTAGGACATATGCTAAATATTTGTGTTGTTTTGATAAAAATGCTAATTTTAATAAAGAACACATTAGACGGAGAAAGATAGAGGTTTGAGATAAGTTTAAGTGTAGAAGTCTGGTAAAAAGTGCAAGTAAAATACAAGGAAAAATAAACTTTGCAAGTAAGATAAAAGGCTGTAAGCAAGAATGGCAAGGAATGTAAAAAGAAATGTAAAAGACTTTGATTATAAAATGTGGTGTTTCAAACGTACATTCTTAGTATTCTTTCTCATGCAGCGGGTACTCGAATAGTATTGAGTGACTTGTACAATTAGTTGAAGACACGGAAATCTACATAGAATCCTTATATTTATACTAGAACTAGGTAATCGTCAAGGAGTTGCCTCGCCCTAAGATGAAGACAAGTGTCATCTGCATGCACTTCGAATTTTGTCCTTATGCCACGTTTCTTTCTTCAACTTCCAGGTGAATTGCTTTTCCATACTTTCTTCAGATTCAAAATCACTTGTTGCTGATACGAAGTTTCATGGTCGAAGGGCAAAGGCTTCTTGGTCGAACACCCCTTTTAACTTAGAAAATTTATCTAAGTATTTCTTCTCTTCTTAGCATAGCTTCGACAGAACTAACATCACGAACTCTTCTGTCGAAGCGCCTTTAACTTTAGATTTCTTCAACCTATTCTTGGCCAGTAGGACCAACATGTGTAGGTGTCAAATTCAGGAGCTAACAAATTTCCCCCCAAGAATGTGAATTTCGACGCCAGAAGAAATGGTCATTCTTTGATATTCCCATTTGACACATGTCTTCTTTTTGGCTACAAAAGTCAATCATGCGCTATTCTTGCACTAGATATGTTTTTGTAATGACTTATATCCATTTTGGTTGCTTAATGCATTGTCTCTTTACTTCGACTGAGATTAAACATTGGTTATTTTAACCTCTTGAAGTACAGATCTATACTTTTTCAAGTATTTATCATTTACTCTCAAGAGCCTTTGATCTTCATTTAACTTTTCGATCTCATAGGCACCACCAGATAATGTTTGGATAATCTTAAAAGGTCCTTCCCATTTAGGAGACCATTTCCCCATATTTCTATCCTTTCGATCCATTGGGAGAATTACCTTCCATACCAGATCCTCAGGAAAAAATGTCTTGGATTTTACTCTTTTATTATAAGATTTTTCCACTCTTTTCTTCTGTATCCTTAAAAGATCTAAAGCTCTCAGTCTTTCTTCGTCCAAATCAACCAATTCGTCTAACATCATATTCCAATAAGCTTTGGAAGGGATATCTTGATGTTTCTGAATTCTTGTTGACTACAGACAAATTTCTACTGGCAATACTGTGTCATGGCTATAGGTTAATCGAAATGGTGTCATTCTGGTAGCTTCTTTAGGGGAAGTTCGACATGCCCATAAGATTTGGTCCAACGTCTTATGCCAATTCCTCGGCTTTTTTCCTACATGCTTCTTTATCAAGCCAATTACTACCTTATTTGCTGCCTCGACTTGTCCATTAGCTTGCGCATAGTAAGGCGTAGATG